CATCATGTGTAGGCAGCTGCCTAGTGCCGCTTTCTTCTCTTCTTTATACTTAATTTTAGGCAGCTTCTATAGTGTGATTTTAAACATTTGATTTATTAGTACAATAGCATAAATCTCATTCTTACTCATTTCATTTATGACTGACAAATATTCATCAAATTCATGTTAAAAGTGTCACTTTATATGCAATTAAAATAAATAAATCTTAAACAAGGCTAAATATTTTGAGTGCACATTTGTGCATTATAATTCAAGTCCTGTGTTAGAAACCGACCCAAATTTGTTATCCACTGATAATCTTCCCCTCCAGTGAGCTGTCAACTTAAGAACTGGATCACTGAGTCAATTAGAATTAAAGATCTGATTCTTGTTGTCCATGAACAGTATGATCGAGTTCACAAACCACACTGATCTGGTTCTCCAGTCCAACGCAATGATCGAGTCACAATGGATAAGGTGTTAACAGCTCGCTGGAGGGGAGAATTATTAGTGAATAAATCACTTACACTTCTGTCTGTTCCTCATTCAAATCTATGATTTCAGAAGACTTGATATGGACCAACATAAATATTTGTGGCATTTTAGCCATACTTTTTGAAAAGACATGAGGGGTGATTCAATGACAGAACTTTTGGATGAACTATTCCTTAACATAGGGAACACTTCTCCCTATTTCTTCATTTCCATTGCACACACTTGCTCTGTAACCAGAAACCCAAACGAGAGAGAGCACTAGCCTACTGTAGTAAGGTTAAAGAAGACTTCATAGTTGAACTACAGTGAATTATCAAATATTAATCTTATCTTACAATTTCCTTCACCAATGTTATCTGTATTCAAATCAGGTGAACTTTGTTGAAGACTGTTCAACTGCAAATTATAATTTCTTCATTATTTTACTGCATGCTTGTGGTGAGGTGCTGATTGCTAATTTTTCGCAGACAATGTCACAATGTCCCCTGACTTATTCCTATAATTAAAAACCAGTGAAGTGGGTTTGGCAAGGGGGAAAAGGTCAGTATTGGAGAATGGACACAACTCGAGAAGGAGTCAAGACCTTAATCAAACTGCCATTATAAAGATCAAACTCAAATCCATCATTGATACCATAGAAACATTTAATACAGGACGGCAGTGTGTTTATACAACATTATCATTGGAACTAATTGAAATTTCCAGTAGGGTGACTGCAATGATAATGATATAATAAATATTAACAATGCATTGTTATAATTCCAAAGCTTAATTCATACATTTACTGAAATCTAATTATGAAGATGTCAGAAAAGAGCCTTTCAATTGACACCATTTATACCTGCAGTGAATGAACAGATTTCAGTAATAATT